TGTGGGATGGGAGAAACCCTGCCCACAGCCCCTCTGCCTTCCAGGGAGTCTCGATCTGGAGAAACCCTCATGCCTGGCCCAGACTCCTACATTGTAGGTTAGACAGCCAGTGTAGGAAGCACCTAGGACATGACAACCAGCTATTCCAGAGGAACCCAGGGCAAATCTACTCTAACAAGGGGAAAACACTTTACATACAAACCCCTAATTTATGATCATTTCTGTTATATTGCTATAGACTTTGCTCCTATGGTCTAAAGTACAAGATCCATAGCTATCACAGCTTGTCGGTTTCTAAACTGTACTTATTGCTAATTATACTACTGCAGTTAGGATGTCATATCTGTTGCAATCAGTTGTTCTCTCTTGGGTAACAATATTGGGAAGCTCTGCAGTAATAACTCCACCACGGCCCTAAACCAAAAGCCTGGTGACTGAGCCAAACAGAAACCAACAGCCCACTCTCAATTAACTGGGGAGGTAGGATCTTGGGACAGACACCCCAAGAATCTTTTACACACAGAAGATACCCCTGAAGTACATACTATCCTTGGCGAGGCCTCGATACCACTGATATAGCTCCCACTACCAAAATTCACAAGGATCATCACAGAAAACAAAATTTAATTTTTTTTTTGAAATAGGAAATGTCCAAACAAAGGAGAAAATGCAATTTCAGACTTCCAGCCCACTTAGAACAAGTCCAGGAGACATCGACATAGAATAAATTGGAAGTAACACATCTGAGATTTCTGAAATAAAAGCAAATGCAGTAAAGAAACAACTCTAAGGGCCAGCCAGATAGCTCAGCAGACTAAAGCATCTGCTTAGGCAGAGCACAGTGACTGGGGTTCGATCGCTGGCGTGCTGTGCCAGCCCTGCCCCTGGGGCATGCTGAGATGGTGACTGAGACTGGGCGTGGTGGCATGCACCTATAATCCCAGTGCTTGGGAGGCTGAAAACAGGAGGATCAGTAAGAGTCCAATCTACATAGTGAAACAATGTAGGCCCTATAGAATCTGTACTAAAATACATTTAAAAAAGAAGTAACTCTATCAGGCTATAGAAGAAATCATATCAGAAATAATTTCTCAGGTAAAAAAGGAAATGACAACCAGAATGAAAGAATTGTTCAGCATATCTAAAGAAGACATAGATTTTTAAAAAAAGAAGGGCATAAAAAATGATGGAAACCTTGAATGAGCAATATATAAAAGAATTTTAAAGCATGAAACAGATTCAAACAGATATTCAAGAAATTAAAACTTCCACTGAAATTTGGCAAAAATCCTTGAACAGAACTGAAGATAGACTTTCAGACCTTGAAGACAGCATTGCAGCTAGCCATCACAAAAGCAAAGATCTCTTAAAAATAACAAGGAATCAGGAAAAAAAAAACCACTTCAACAGCTGCAAGATGATGCAAAGAAAAACAATACAATACTGATAGGTGTCAACAAAAAAAGCAGGCGTCAACACCAATGACATAAAAGTACTATTTGCAGAAATGATAGCAGAAAATTTCCCGAGCACGGGAAAAGAATCTACCGTACAGGTAAGTGAGCCCCAGAGGACTCCAATTCGCCATAACCAAAATAAATCTATGCCAACATATAATAATCAAGATCTCAGAAATTCAGCACAATAACAGAATATTAAAAGCTGTTACAGAAAAGAAATAGATCAACTAAAAGGAAAGCCCAGCAGAATCATAGCAGATTTCTCAACACAGAAAAGAAAAGGTCATATAGAAATTCAGAAGATAATCAATACCTGCTTCCAAAATATTTACTCTCACAGGATGGAAAACATACAAGAAATAGGTATATTCCTAAATATATGTGTATTACCAAAGTTGGATCAAGAAGATATAAAAATTCTGAATAACCCAATATTAGTCAATCAGATTGAAAATGTAATTAAAAACTTAGCAACAAAGAAAAACCAATGTGCTGATGAATTCACTGCTAAATTCTATAAGAAATTTAGAAAAATTTCAATACCAATTCTTCTTAAATTCTTCAATGAAATTGAGAGGGAAGTAATTTTCCTAAACTCATTCCTGAAGGCAAATATTATCCTGATACCCAAACCAGAGAAAAACCCAACAAAAGAGAATTACAAGTTGATCTCCTAATGAACATAGATGCAAAAACCTCAATAAAACTAACAAACAGATTGCATTAAAATCATCAAGAAGATTATACACCACGACTATGTGAGATTCATCCCAGGAATGCAGGTATGGTTCAGCATACACAAACCAATAGCTATAATATGCCATTGTACATAGAAGACCCCCAAAAACTCTACCAAAAGACTTCTAGATTTAATAACTGATCAGTAATGTAGCTGGATACAAAGTCAACACTCAAACATTAATAGCATTCCTGTACACAAACAATAAACTCATTGAGAGAGAAATTAGGGAAGGCACAATAGCATACAAAAAATGTCACACTTAGGCATCAATCTAACAAAGGAAGTAAAAGGTTTGTACAGTGAAAATTACAGTACTCTGAAAAGAGAGAGCAAAGAGGATTTCAGAAAATTGAAAGGTATTCCTTGTTCATGCATAGGAAGAACCAACCCTGTGAAAATTACCATACTCCCTAACAGTTATACAGATTTAAAGCAACCTTGATCAAAATACCATTAGTAAATACTTCATAGATCTACAAAAAAGATTTACAAAATTCATCTGGAACCAGAAGAGACCTAGAAAAGCAAAAGCAATTCTGGTCAATAAAGGCAAAGCAAGAAACATCACAATCCCTGACTTGAAATTGTACTACAAAGCTACCATGATAAAAATCAGCATGGTACTGGCCAAAAACAGATCTGAGGATCAATGGAACACATTAGAAGACACAAACACAACTGAAAACACACTCAGTCCCCCCATCTCTGACATAAGGGCCAAACATATTCACTGGAAGAAAGATAGCTGAAAAACTGAAAAAACTGGCTGTTCACATGTCAAAGACTAAAACTAGACCCATGACTGTTAAAGTTAAAATGAATTAAAGATATAAACATTAAAGCAGAAACACTAAATCTACTGGAAGAGTAGGTAGAATTCATGAAGACATAGGACTAGGCAAAGAGTTAATGAACAAAAACCAAAATGTACAGGAAATACTTCAAAGAATCAACAAGTGGAATCTCCTCTTA